AATTTTCATTGAAAATGCTTTTATCTATTATTTACCCACACATCATTTTGTGGTTGCAAGTAATGACTGCAGAGTTTGTCAAAGATGGGGTTGCCAACTTTTTTCCCCTGGTGTGCTCTGTGCCATTATAGTTGCCTAACAGGCAGCGCTTTTAGCAGGTGAAACTTTTAGCACCGTTTTGCCTAGTTACCAAGAAAAGCTTCACATGCTATATTTCTGCCTCTCATACACTCCCTTAAACAAGCTTCTGGTTCCGGCAAGATATTGCAATACAGTATATAAACACTTTTAAAGATCAATGAAGTTAGTATACAGCTGTCAAACTTTTGAGAAAGCCTCTCAGTAAAAACCAGCAAATGGTCTATCCAGACATTGAGATGGTTCTATTTATGGTTTTTGTAGCTAGGGCTCTCTTCCTCCATCACTTTTTGTGATGTTCTCTTGGTGGATAGAAAGAAATGGAGCAAAGGACAATGAAGGAAGAGATACAGAGATAGAACTACCCACTACTCCGTAGCTCATTGGCACTCCTTCCTTCCTTCCTTCCTTCCTTCCTTCCTTCCTTCCTTCCTTCCTTCCTTTCTCAACTAGCCTCTCCTGTCCACAGCAGAGGCAGATTTAGGGGAGGGCAGTTTCAGGGGAAACCACAAGCATGATGCAGAATAGAAGGCAAGAGGCAAGGGGGCACATAATTTTGGCATCGCACAGGATGCCACCGAAATTTGAGACCCCATCATTGTCCATAGTTTCATTCATCAGCGAGGAGAGAAAAGGCATGCAGAAAATAGTTCACCCCAAATCCAGTGCAGACTGATCCTTAGGACAAATGGGGCACTGCCCCACCAACCCAGTTCATTCTAAGCCAGGCCCCACCTGCTTGCCTTCTTACTTACAACCTATCAGGGGTGGTTCTGCCTGTCATGGGCTCTGGCTCCACGTACTGACGGTCTACCTGCCTTTCGCCCTACCAGACCCAATCTCTCTGTGCCATTTTTGTGTGATGAACCTGTGTGCTCCGTAGATGAGAATCTCCTACTGCTAGCTATCTCCAAGATTATTACTTGTGAGGGGGTCAGCTTGTGCATTGTCCAGGCTCTCGTGTCTGTCTGGAGGCTTTTGCTAAAGGGCCTTTGAGAATACAATACTACAGTAGTGCATTGCAGTGCAGCCCCTCAACCTTGTTGTGATTGTTCTGCTCTTATACTGGAGTATCGTGTCTGTGTTCCGTTTAACAGGAAATAGTTAATATTCTTCCCCACAAGGCCTGGGCGCACCTGCAGATCTGTGGTGTGTGGTTTCTCCTGCCAGCTGCATCTGTGATTCTGCAGCAGAGATGGAGGCAGTAAAACTGTAAATGGAGAGTTTGCGGCATGACACTGCAGCGCGAAGACCGCCTAGGGGCCTATTGCTGTGGTAACAAAACCACTGTCATCAGAGAGAAGAGGTTTTGTGGGTTAAGCAGTTTCAATAAAGTGCACTTCTCAGCTCTTATCAAAATATTGTCCACATTTACAGCATTCCCATCTAAAAAGCCGATTGTGTTTTCCCCTTCAGCCCCATTGCAGAGCCTCTCGGCCCAAAAGGCGGCCCCACAATATTTTGCTAAGATGATTCACCTTCTTAGTCATTTGTCTTTGTTCAGGACTCAGCTGTTGGGCTGACCCTTTGACCTTGAGGTCTACCATCCATTATCCCTTTACACTAACTATATTGTCTTCAGAACCAAATGCCTATGTCCCTGTACAGCAACAGCAAATGTGTTTGGCACTTGAAAGCTGCTGGACATTTCTGTGCACACCCTGGGTGTCAGTTATAACTTGTAATCATTGTACACTGCAGCTCGGCCTTTGAGTGTATCTCAGGGTTGTTTGCACAGATATTTTGGGGTTAACAGGCCCTTTGCTTGCTTTAGGCTGAAATCCTAGACACTTTTACAAAGGAGTAAGCGCCAGGACTTATTTCTAATGGCAGAGGAGCGTGTCATCAGGCTGCAATCTGTACACATTTACCTGGAGTAACTCTCATTGAATACAGTAGAGCTTACCTCTGTGTAAACATGAAAAAGATTGTGCTGTTAATCTCTGATTTCTTTTATAAATGCTTTTAAGGAATTAATCAGAAGATATAGCATGTGAGTGCCGCTAACTGAGAGTAATGTGTAGTTAAATCACAGGGCCTGAATGCAATAATTCTGCAAACAACAAAAAGAGATAGCATATTGCTGGCATATCATAGCCCCTCATTTATTTGGGCTTGAAATGACTCATAACTGGAGTGTACAGGGCTTCTATTTGCATACATCTGTGTAATGGAGATGCTGCTTGTGCTGGTGGGATATGCTGAGCTCCTTGTTTGACTCAGTGGGAGTTCAGAGCCTTTGTGGGCATCTAACATAGTATAACCAAGTATACCAAGTACAAAGTGTACAAAGTATAGTACCAAGTATAGTATAATCAAGTATAGGTGCTTCTTAAGGGGACACAGTAAATTCATTGGTGGTGGTGTTCAGTTTTTTTTTGGGGGGGGGATATCCCAATTTCTTTAACCATGGAACCCAAGGCAGTGTGTAGGTGGTTCCCATGCAAGCACTGAACACACCCAGAACTTCAGCAGGGTGGTAGACTCATATGCCATCAGATTGTTCTTGAATAAAACACATTTTGGGGATTATGGCATGACTAACCTTCCATGTTTTCACCAATCTGAATCAAAGAACTGAGTTTTGGTTTAAATATTTGTTATTAACAGAGGCATCTTGTTGGCATCCATCTTGGGAGACAATGAAAGAGTGAGCCTTCAGGGGGCAGTCAAGCTGTTGGAGAGTTACAGTGCCTGCTGTGGCTGTAGAGACCAATGCAGGAGAGGCCCAGGAAGATGAAAGCATCTGGTTTTGGTGCTATAGGTGCGCTTCTTTCTCTGTGTTCCTCACAGTGGTCATTTCTCCTCTGATCACTGCTAAGGATACCCAAGGGACTCCCACATGGCGGGGTTAATGTTGCCAGCCTTCATTTCACGTTTACAGACATCTTTGTTACACAGAGTTGGTCTGCCAACTGGCCTAGTTTGAAGCCAGCTCCCTGTAAATCACATCCTTGGGGATCCTTCCATCTTCCATTTTGTGTATGTGACCAAGGCAGCATAGACGTTGCTGAGACAGAAGTGCAAACAATTCATATATTTATGGGTTTTCTCTCTCTGGTAGGGTTGCCACACATCCAGAATTTCCCGGACATGCCTAGGATTTGGCCACCTGAAACAATGTCCAGGTGACAATAGCTGAAAGCTCAATTTTGCCAAAAGTTCTTTTCACTTTTTGAAATATGGCGACCCTGCTCTATAGCAACTTACAGTATTGGGGCAGAATTCAACATAGTTCTATAGCATGGGTAGGCAAACTAAGGCCCAGGGGCCGGATCTGGCCCAATCGCCTTCTAAATCTAGCCCACAGACGGTCCAGCAATCAGTGTGTTTTTACATGAGTAGAATGTGTCCTTTTATTTAAAATGCATGTCTGGGTTATTTGTGGGGCCTGCCTGGTGTTTTTTACATGAATAGAATGTGTGCTTTTATTTAAAATGCATCTCTGGGTTATTTGTGGGGCATAGGAATTCATTCTTTTTCCTCCTGCAAAATATAGTCTGGCCCTGCACAAGGTCTGAGGGACAGTGGACCGGCCTGCTGCTGAAAAAGTTTGCTGACCCCTGTTCTGGGGTCTTCCCTAGCCCCCCCTGAGCCATGGGGGGGGGGCAAGGGGGGAAGCCCTGTAGTGCTAGCAGAAGTCCTTGCAAGGGCTTCTATTAGCAGGGCTTGTCAGTTGAATCTGGACCCAGGAATAAATTAACAGAATAAAGACAGTAAGACAGAAATAAAATTGTCAACAAGGCAATATTACATAATATAAAAGAATATGTACATTAAACTGGATCTCAATTACGTAATTCAGGAGCCTTCTACTTTTATTAGAGATGATGTCAAATTTCATGGGTCCTTTTGGTTGGAGTCAAATTGGTGGTTTCACTCCCCCATCAATCATTTCAGCAATCTAGACAGGGCACCATATTAACACTGATTCTTTCTTGCGAATACCAAAGGGAGAGATTGTAGCTTTCCTATCTGTTAGTGGCTTTGCTATGCTGGCACCACTTATTTTAGCTAATCATGATGAGACCAACCACAACAAAGGCAATGGGGAAAAAACATTTGTTTTGGACCATTCTCTCCCCTTCCCCTCTCATTTATTTTTGGCCAAATTAATCCCGAGAAACTCGATCTGTGTCCAGAGCCATGATCTGCCCTAGACACCAGCCCGGTTACTAGCGGCCTCCACTTTATGGCCCCTCATAATTGGGAAGGGTGAAAGGTCAAGTTGTGGAGCCATTGTACCAGCCTTACAATTCCTTTAAAACTTGTATGAAAGACAAAGCTCCTTAGAGACCCTGATGGAACACTGCCCCAGGCAAGGAGGGAGGGAAGGAGGGAGGGAGAAAGAGAGAGAGAGACAAGTCTGCCCTGGCCTAGGAGATAAAAGCCACATCAAAAGAAGCAGTGGTCAGCTGTCCATCTCGAGTTGCAGCTTGTTTTGAGAAGCGTGAGGGGAAAACTCTCACAGGACAGTCGCTAAGAATTTTGCATGTGAAGTTTTTTTGTGTCTTGTTTTGTTTTTTTAAGCCACAAGAAGGAGGGGAGAAAGCTCTGCTGCAAACAGAAGGAGTTGCTGTTTGGCTAGATTCCCAGACTGAATCACTTAAATCATGTTTAGTGCCTCCAATGTGAGTCGCCGCCTGTTTATAACAGTCACCGCGAGAGACCCAACGTGGATGCATTTCCCAAATCAACATCTGAATGCAAGTATGGATCAAAAACTAACATCATAAACTATCAAAAGCCTTTAATTCTGGGAAACTTCTTGAACCTTGTGGCTGGGTCCTTTTAAAAGGATGTTTCCTGACTTTACAAAAAGAAACCTACAAAACAAACAAGACCTGAGCACAAACAGCTTGCTGAGCTTGTAATACCTGTTTAATTATAGCAATTATTCTGGTTCACAATACAGTAATAATAAGGGTTGGAATCTAGAGATCCTTGCATGCACACACATAGATGCTTCAGGGCTTTTGAAATATTTCGCTGCAGACTGCAGTCCCTCATACCATACTGGTTGCCTCTGGAGAATTCCCCAACTTGGACTATTGTGGGAACAGAACCGGTGAATATGCAGAAAACAAAATGTGGCCTTTTAATATGGAATAGTTTTCATGAAGGCAGCCTTCTAAAGACATCAAACATATTTAAAATTATATTAAGCCCTGCAAAGTCACCTTTAGCAGTAATAACATTTCTTTATTTTTTATTATTAGATCTTAGTCCCTTGGTTAGCACTTGATGAAAGCTTTGCTCTATGTTATGAACTGGTAAAGTTCATAACAGTAAAGTTTTTTAACTGTCTTCAAGGGCAGCCCAAGGGGTGATTTATTATAGTAATCAGGTTGAGAAGACACTGGGATATGCAAGCCAGGCAGGATTGTTGTTTTCCAGAAAGGGATGCAGGCAGAATATCAGGGCACATGATACAAGCAGTCATGTTGCTGAAGCTGAGCAGGTCTGGATTTGGTCTGCGCTTTGATGAGAGTTTGCCTGAGAATCCCATGAATGCTAACCTCAAGTTCCGTGATGAAAGAAAGGCAGGATATTGGTGTATGCAGGGGCAGCCATTACGGTGCCCTTCAGATGTTGCTGGACTCCCAACCCCACCAGCATGGCCAATAGACAGGGATTAGAAGTGTTGTAATTCAGTAGCATCTGGAGGGTACCATTCTGGCTACCCCTATATTACAGGATAATATCAGCTGAAAGAAGGTACATGTCAAATCACAATAGGTCACCTGGAGAAGGAAAAGCCCAGGTCCAGGAGGTTTTGCCTTTCCAACCTGTTACTCAGGTCTAAATCACAATAAACATCATTCCACAGAAAACCCACTTGACTTTGATCTGGTCCAGAGGTAAAAAGTGTGTTCGCCCCTGGGGAAAGTGGTGAGTCAAGCGGATGAGCCCTAAATCAACCCTAAGTCATAAAGAGACTGATTCATTGCTCGCTCAGCCATTTTAGCCAAAACTGTTGGATTTGAAACTGGTCCGTAATTTCCAAAATCACCAAGTTGAGAGAAGGCTTCTTCAGTAAAGGTGTAACTACTGCCCCTCTCAGAACAGATTTCTTGCAATGCCCTTCTTGCAGAGAAGCACTGACCACAACCAAGACAGAAATGAAAATAATTTGTCTTGCAAGAGAACACTATAATTCTAAATTTTAGGAGCTGCTTTGCTAGAGGTACTGATCCTGATTTTGGAGGCTGAACTTGCTTGGGGACTAGTAGCGCCTGGCTGGCTTTATTTCGTATGTGTGCATCCACCTTCTGCTTATTATGTTCATAACAGCTAACAACATAAATAGCTACTTGCCTCTTACCTGCTCTGCCTGCCTGTTTTAAAATACTGTTTTCTGTGGGTAGAGTTATCAGTATGGGCTGCCCTGAGGCAATACTTGGCCAGAGCCTTGAACTTGACAAAAGAGAGTTAATAGCCCAGGAATGTGTTTCCATGGGAACTAATTATAAGGCCATTTTCCTTAAGACTTCTGAAATGCCTGAAAGCATATTAGACATCCCCACTTTATGGATGATGTAATCTAGGTGTCTGTGTACCAGGAGAACAATAGACTGCAGTGTTTGAAACCAAGAAAGAGAAAACTCTGGTACAAACTGTGTGTGATGCTAAATGTACCCCCAGCAACTATCTCAGTTTCCCCCCAAATTTAATAGCAGGTAGAGGCGCCGAGTTGCACCTGACATATGGGGAGGGGCTCGTTGTGCACATGCGTCAGGAGGAGGCCATGAGGCCCCACAAGGCTCACTGCTGCCATGCGGAAGCCCACCGCCACCATGGGGAGGCCTGGCAAGCCCCAGCCCCACATACTGTATGCCTGGAAGTCTGACCAGAGAAGTGGAGTGAGTGTCACAATACAGTCGTACCTTGGATCCCAAATGCCTTGGTACTCAGATGTTTTGGCTCTCGAACGCAGCAAACCCAGAAGTGAGAGTTGGTTTGCGAACATTCTTTGGAACCCGAAGGTCTGACGGGGCTTCCACGGTCTCCGATTGGTTGCAGAAGTTTCCTGCAGCCAATCAGAAGCCGCAATTTGGGTTTCGAACGTTTTGGAAGTCGAACGGACTTCTGGAACGGATTCCGTTTGACTTCCAAGGTACGACTGTATAAGGTATTTCAAACTCTTCTCCATCATTCTCTTCTGTCTTGAACCAGTGAAACAAGGGGACTTGTGAATATTTTAGGATACGTAGTCTAAGATCAGACCTTTTAACATCACAGTAATCCAAGTTTATGCACCAATTACCGGTGCTAAAGAAACTGAAATTGACCAATTCTATGACATCAAAAAAACTAAGATCATGGCCACTGGTCCCATCACCTCCTGGCAAATAGAAGTGGGAAAAATGGAGGCAGTGAGAGATTTTACTTTCTTGGGCTCCATGATCACTGCAGATGGTGACAGCAGTCACGAAATTAAAAGACGCCTGCTTCTTGGGAGAAAAGCAATGACAAACCTAGACAGCATCTTAAAAAGCAGAGACATCACCTTGCTGACTAAGGTCCGTACAGTTAAAGCTATGGTTTTCCCAGTAGTGATGTATGGAAGTGAGAGCTGGACCATAAAGAAGGCTGATCGCCGAAGAATTGATGCTTTTGAATTATAGTGCTGGAGGAGACTCTTGAGAGTCCCATGGACTGCAAGAAGATCAAACCTATCCATTCTGAAGGAAATCAGCCCTGAGTGCTCACTGGAAGGACAGATTGTGAAGCTGAGGCTCCAATACTTTGGCCACCTCATGAGAAGAGAAGACTCCCTGGAAAAGACCCTGATGTTGGGAAAGATGGAGGGCACAAGGAGAAGGGATGGCAGAGAATGAGATGGTTGGACAGTGTTCTTGAAGCTACCAGCATGAGTTTGACCAAGCTGCGGGAGGCAGTGGAAGACAGGAGTGCCTGGCGTGCTCTGGTCCATGGGGTCATGAAGAGTCGGACACGACTAAACGATTAAACAACAACAAGTCCAAGATAGTTGGTGGAAGAGATGGGGTTAGTCACTGCATCACTGTAGATAGATGGTGGAAGGACCATGAGTGAGAGAGGTAGGGAAGTGGAGTCTCAGGGTGAGAGACTTGGAGAGGACAGGAAAGCTCCCAGCTGGGAGCTGAAAGAGTTTGCTATTTTCTGCAGAGGTGGGGATTAAGAACTAGTTTTGTACAGAGAGAAGTAGAGGCACTTGCCCACTGTTTCTAAACTTTAGATATCCTGCAGCTGATTCCCCCCTCCTTTTATTTATTTTTTTAGCATGCTAATGTTAAAAGGGGTAGAATTCATCGTTGCAGAATGACAGCCTGCTTCCGTCAGCATAGCCATTTCAGCTTGTCAGATGGAAGCGTCTCCCTTCTCTTCCCCCTGTGTGCTGTTCTAGGGGTTCTCCTGACTCCCTGAGCCAAACTGAGGTGGAGTGGGGGGGGGCGAGTAGAGGGGATGCACGGGGGGGGGGTAGGGGAGAGGGAAAAGTCCCATTGCACTAGCAGAAATTCTAGCACTGGCTCCTGCTAGCACAGCTGTTTAGTTGAATCTGGCCCTAGATGTATATCATGTTTTATCTTTCACCTGAGATAAGCAGGTAACCACTTAAGTTATGAGACACTATTTTACAGGGGATATTGCTGGGATGATATTGGATATAATTAGACATTGCTGTTTATTATATTTTCATTACGTTTATTATGCATAATGTACAAGTATGTATTATGAACTATTTTGTATTAGTATGTATTGTATTTATACAACTGTTTAATTATTATTTTTTTGCATTGTATGGTTAGTATGTTGTGTAATGACATATATTGTTTATTATGTTCTACGTCGTAAACGGCCTTGTGATCTTTTGACAACGGGCAGTATATAAATGTTTAAAATAAATAAATAGTTTCAAGGGGGCGAAGAAAGTTCAAGAGCCCTGTGTGTTGAATTATTTTAGAAATCCTATTAATCAATGCTCTTGGAGGGCAAATCAGTGGGATTTTCACTGGTTAGAAGGAAATTCCCTTGGACAACTTGCAGCTGCAGAAACATAACAATAACTTGATAATGGGGAGGAAAAAAACCAAAGGGTTTATTTTTTTGGGGGGGGGGTGAAATTAGAGAGAAGATTTTGGCCTTGATTATCAGCATTCTACCTACTGTTTTCAGGATTAGAAAAGTCTATGGGAAATATTTTCCCCAGCATGCATCTGCTTGGAAATCTCTGCATAGAAATGTTAGCAAAACTTCAAGGCCTTCATCAAATGGTAGAACAGCTTCCTCCAGAGTCTTATTCCTGCAGATCATCCCTCACCCTGCCTGCCATCCTTTCTTTTTTTGCATCGGCCGGCCTTGTAATGAAGGGGTTACTGTCTCGATGCAGTGTAATAGTCAGTGAGGGCTGACTTGGCTGGAACAGACGTTAACTTCCACAGTAAATCTGGCAGGAGCTGGTAATTATGGAAAAAGCAGCCAGGGGTCATGCCCAGCCAAAGCTTGGGAGTAACAGAGCAGAAAATCAAAACAGGGGGGAAGGGAAGTTACGCTCATCATCGCCTTCGGCCTTCCCTGCTCTCCTCTGAACTATCAGGGGCCTGTCATCGGTTTGTTATGCTTAGAAGCAGCCCCTGGAAGATGAGGTAATAATCATGTTAAACATTAACTGCCTTAGCACTCGCTGCACTGTAAACTCACCTTCATCTCTGCAGTTTGACCATGGAAAAGCTCTCTGCGGTGGCAGACAGAGTGTTTGTTCCTCTGGTTTTGTTCCGAGACCTGCTGTACCTTTGCACAGCCAATATGTTGCCCCTCAGGGTCTCATTCTGCAAATGATTAGCATTAGCACTCACTAACCAAACAATAAAATAGCAGTGAATCAGCAAGCAGGTCTGCAGAAATCTGGAGTAACTGTCCACCGTTTGATTGTGTACTTTCTGTTTGATGGGTAAATATGTTCAGCATATAAATGTAACGTGTGTTTGGGGAGGGAGGGTGAACTCCAGCTGCACTTGATCCACATAACCCTTACATCCCCTTCTTCACAGGGTAAACTGATCATCACCAAACATAGGAAGCTGTTTTATACCAAGTCAGACCATTGAATCATAGAATTGTAGAGTTGGAAGGGACACCAAGCTTCATCTAGTACAACTCCCTGCAATGCAGGAATTGGTCCATCTAGCTTAATATTGTCTCCGTTGACCATCAGTGGCTCTCCAGGGTCAGTCCTACCTGGAGACGCCAGGGATTGAACCTGCAACCTTATGTGTGAAGAGCCTGTCCTCTCCCACTGAGCGATGGCGCTTCCCAACAGGTTGTATGGCTGTGGTTGAGGCACATGTTGTTGTTTAGTCGTTTAGTCGTGTCTGATTCTTCGTGACCCCATGGACCAGAGCACACCAGGCACTCCTGTCTTCCACTGCCTCCCGCAGTTTGGTCAAACTCATGCTGGTAGCTTCGAGAACACTGTCCAACCATCTTGTCCTCTGTTGTCCCCTTCTCCTTGTGCTCTCCATCTTTGCCAACATCAGGATCTTTTCCAGGGAGTCTTCTCTTCCCATGAGGTGGCCAAAGTATTGGAGCCTCAGCTTCAGGATCTGTCCTTCCAATGAGCACTCAGGGCTGATTTCCTTCAGAATGGATAGGTTTGATCTTCTTGCAGTCCATGGGACTCTCAAGAGTCTCCTCCAGCACCATAATTCAAAAGCATCAATTCTTTGGCGATCAGCCTTCTTTATGGTCCAGCTCTCACTTCCATACATCGCTACTGGGAAAACCATAGCTTTAACTATACGGACCTTTGTTGGCAAGGTGATGTCTCTGCTTTTTAAGATGCTGTCTAGGTTTATCATTGCTTTTCTCCACATAAACAGTCATAATGTATAGGCTGAGGCAGCAGTAATGATCTAACTGGTATCCTTTATTGCAGATATTAATATTGGGCAGCATGAAGCAACTGGATGCATAAAAACGGAATCCATTTGGAATATAAATTGTCCAGACCCAACTTCAAGCTTTTTTTGCAGGAATCTGGTTGGCCACTGTGAGAACAGGATGGTGGACTAGATGGGCCACTGGCCTGATATAGCAGGCTTATTTTATGTATCTTATAAGCTAATGGAGATTTTGTGATCCAGCAGGCTGTTCATATATTCTCATGTTCACATGCATAAGTACTCCTTGCAATGACATTCTCATTCAGAGATGCACCACAGTCTCCTCTGAGCTGGAGACAAGAACAGGAGCCTTTTCGGCTGCCCAGCCGAGTCCCGTTTCAGGCTGAGTGGCCATGGATAAAGCTGAAGGGGGAAAGGGAGAAAGAGTGTTTACTCATTAAACCTTTAACAAGCTGCCCACCCTCTGCCTTGTCTAGTGCACTATAAGTTGTTTAATGAAGCAGATATACACTAAAACAGAAACTCCCTTATTAAAAAGCTCAGGGCCATGAACTAACTCAAAGGAAAGGGCTCAGCCTTAGCAGCAGCAGTGGAAAGGTTGAAGGCCACCCATAGGTTATGCCGAATGCTTTTGTCCAAGATTTGCAAGCTGCACTGCCATTTGCTGGCTCAGTTTACTTTGTACAAAATGTTGGTTTTGCAGATAAAGTGTCCCACACCTTGAGTTTCCATTGGCACATTCATGAGTGCAGTTGCTTTTCACGGCCTCTTCGAAGGGTAATTGGGCTTGTTGAATGTTCTCAGAGCCCCGTGCCAATGAAAGGGGGCCCCTCCATATTGTGTATTCATTTTCCATATGTAGTTTTGTTCAATCAAAACATTGTTTGGAAGGCTTCCTAGATAAATGTCCAAACACATCCATTAAGTGCTTATTCTAGTCAATTGGTTGCAGGGGGGAGCTATGCCTCTTCCACTGGATCAGAGCCAACTTTTAGCCTACATTTGCATCATAGATTGTCTACAGGTTGTAGCTTGTCAGATACTGAAATCACACATAGAATCATAGAGCTGGAAGGGACTCTGAGGGTCATCTAGTTCAACCCCCTGCAATGCAGGAATATGCAGCTGTCCCATACGGGGCTTGAACTTGCAACCTTGGTATTATCAGCACCACGCTCTGATCCAGCTGAGCTATCCAGGCATACATTTTTTTTAAGTGTTTATGACCACTTGGGGCATTTTCCTTCTTCAGTCCACACAAACTAAGGCAGAGCAAGACTCCACATGATGCTTTCACATTAAAATGTCACACACACCCCTCTAGCTAGGGTAGGAGAAGACATCTCTCTGCTGCCCTATCCCAGGTGGTGGCCCACATTGCTTTTGACTAGAGGAAAACACTATCCCATCATGTCATGGATGCTTTAGCTGAGATTCCTGCAGTGCAGGGAATTGGACTAGATGGCTCTTGGGGTCCCTTCCAACTCTACAATTCGATGATTCTTTGATCAGACTGTGGTTGGTGCCATGCTGCTAGTGTGATAAATTGTCATAGAGATGTTATTCTCAAGGCCGGCCCAATATTGTTTGCCATATTTGCCCTGCCCTGATTTTCAGATGTTGCTACTTGCTAGGTTTAGATCAGAATAGATGAGACTAGAATGTGTGTGTGTGTGTGTGTGTTGGGCAAGCCTTAAAAAGGATTGTTTAGTTTTGGATAGAGAAAGGCAGCTGCTATAGATATAAGATTTGCAGTCTGCCACAGTTCAAATATAAGAGAGAAATCCAGAAAAGGAAAAGTAGATTGTTCTGATAATAGGAAACAGACCTTCCTCAATAGATCATCAGTTTCGATTGCAGCAGGTTTGGCCCTGATCTAATTTAATATCATTGTGACAGCTGTTTACAGTTTTCACAGTACAGCCACCAATATCTGGACACGCCGAGATACATGAAATTGTCTATGGTCAGGGGACACCTGGGACATGGTGTTTGTTATGTGTTTGAGTATGTGTGTTGATTGTGTGCATAAAGCATGCCGGATACACGGTGGCTTGAGTCATAAAGTAGGCTGGATAATGAAAAGGATTTCATTATGGAAACTTTGCATAAATAAATCTGTATGTGAAATGAGCAGGGCTGTGGTCTCATCTCAGCTTGGAATTAATCACTTCAAAAATGGGGGGAAATGGTTATAGTTACATCTATCATTCATATTAATTTCCCGGCCAATTAGGGATCAGCAGCAACAGCAGCCAGCTATATGATAGCAGTGTTCCTTTGAGGATGGCAGTGATGGAAGCATGTTCTTGAGCACCTCAGCAGAATGTTAACTGGTTTCATGAATCAGATCACAGGATTCCTGAAACAAAAGAACATTCTCCATACAGCCCCTAAGTGTAGCAATCCTGAAAAGAAAAATCCAGTAAGAAGTTTGTTGCTAGTTTCATAAGTTTTAATGTTTCATATTCACTATTGCCTCTTCATTTCTAGTTTTTCCTTGGCAGAGAAAAACACTCATACAGTATTTATTCATTCTCTCTCTCTGTGTGTGTGTGTGTGTGTGTGTGTGTGAGAGAGAGAGAGAGAGAGAGAGAGAGAGTTATATGAGAAATCCCTACTCCCAGAGTAGTTATTTCTTAAAGATTACTCTAGAAGAAAGGACTCTGTTTCTACAGCTTGCTCTTTTTGAATTCACAAAGAAATCTGTCCCCTTGATTTTTAACAGAATTTGCTCCCAAATTCTGCTCTGCTGCAGGGTGCCACTGCCAGTTATTCTTAACAATACATGAAGAGCAGTGGCCCAGTTAGGCTGTTCATTCTGCTGGGTGTGGGGGCCCCAGGACTCCTGTCCCAGACTGATAGCACCACTGATGAAGAGCCCTAGGGGATCGGCCCAAAGTGCCATCCCACTTTCAACGGTGGTCAGAAAGATGTTTCTGGGAAGTTCACAACCAGGGCAAGGAATCATTAGCCACCTCCCTCCCAACCCAATCCCCCACATCTCCATCCACTCCAGTATTCAGAGGCGTTTAGGGACGTAACTAATAGTGCATGGTCCAGTTTAGCATTCACTTAGCCTGAAAGACCACCTGACCCTGTGAAGACCTGTAAGATCACTTAGATCATCTGGGGGAAATTTACTCATGGCACTGCACCCAACAAAATACCAGATTGGTGACCCAAAAACGGGTGTTCTTTGCCATTGCCCCAGACCCATGGAATGCAATACTTTTTTTTTTATGGCTCGTACGGAGAACAAACCCACCTTCTGCCATACTTGAAGCAAAATCTGTCAGTTTCAGGTGTCCAGTAAAGACATTATCTTTTTGCACAGGCTTTCCCTGGTCCCCCAAAATCAGACCCTGTTCTTACTCAATTCCTGTTTTTACGTTGTGTTTTGTATGCTGCATGGAGATTTTAAAATATCAAGCAGCTTAGAAATGCTTTTAAATCAATCAATCAATCATGGCTAATTGCTGTTGATAGATGTATCTGCCCCAACCACTTGCCCTGAAGTTGTTAAATCCCCTCTTTAAAAGCTAAGCCAGTGATCACGAGTCAAATTTAAGAGTCACTTGTGTGCTGCATGAAAAGAAAAACATTATTTTATATTTCCTGAATCGAATGGCAATCAATTTGAGTTGAGTAACTAAAATTGGGTCTACTAGACCCCCCCCCCAAAAAAAATTAAACAATGTGGACTAAAGTTGCTTCTGGAGCCCTTCTGGGATTAGAGGCCCAGAAATTTAAGATTCATTAGTTTCATAGTAGATCCGCCCCTCTCCAGGATGGCTTAATATGTTACATTTTCCCTTATATAACTATGCCCAAAATTCTGTGTACCTGTACTGTCACTGTGTACCTGTACTGATGTGTGGGAAGCATCAGCACACATAAGTGCCAGAGTAAACAGCTGTGTGGCCTTCGCGCATGGTGACTGATGTATACAGGCGTGCGTGTCTCCCAACCACTCACATCCATGCAGGTAAATTCAAAGCTTATTTGGTGCACATGACTTCTACCAAAGAATCCTGGGATCTGTATTTTGGTAAGAGTGCTGATAATTACAGAGTAGCTCTATGAGGCAGAAACTACAGTTCCCAAGATTCTTTAAGAGATTTGCCCCCCTCCCCAGTATCTGCAGCCTGCAGTTTGGCCTATAAAGGCTTCCCAGCGGCATCAACTAACAGTTTCAACTTATTTTGGGTTGCCATATTTCAAAAAGTGAAAATCTGGACACAAAAGTTGTTCGGCTTTTTTTTTGTTTTGTTTTGCCAAAGCTTGGGCTACATTTACCAGATGCTCCTCTTGTACTGTAAGTCTTAATGAGCACCACAGTGCCATAGAACAGACTGGGCGTCCCTTATTTCAGATACCCCAAATGACCCTTTTGTGAACTTCTAATCTGGCAAATCTAGATGTCAGTAGTATGGGGCGGGGATCTTGTTATTATGTGGGAAAGACCAATTTAAAGCTATAAATACCTCGTCTCCAGCCACAGAGTTATCATGATTCATCATTTTTTTTCCCTTTTGTAAATAATTTACAATACGATAGAAGAGAGATTTTTGTTTTGTTTTGTTTTGTTTTGTGGGATGAAATTGAAGCTAGTTGTTGCAACATGAGGGCAACTGTTAGGTAAATTCTGATGAAACAGGTCAGCTTAATCCCACCGCTGAGGAAAAACAGTGTTCCATTAAGAAGAAAGAGAGGGAGAGGGAAAACGTGGGGTTGAGTCACTGTTTAATAAACTGAACATTACTCACTGGGGCTCAGATAATAAAAATAATGCCTAATACGTTTATACTGAGACTAGAGGAAGAGCCACAGAATCGTGTTTCTCCTGAGAAACTCTTTGCCACAGAGGAGCCATAAAAATGAACATTAACAAAAGACTCTAGATGAGTTGTTTATGTAACCTTCCTAACCTTCCCTTCTACTCCCGCACCAGCACCTAAGGCCTGCTAATATGTCGATTACCAATTATGGGACAGATTCCCAGCGTTGCTGGTTTTACATTCCCAGTTTAGCCAGTCCTTTCCTTGTATTTGTATTACTGGTGTTGAAGAACAGATGACAGAAACCATATCATTGCATTCCTGAAATGCCCTGTCTCCAAAAGGTCCACAGTTCAATTCCTGTCTGAAATCCTGAAGCAGTCAGGGGAAACGATACTGATCAACAGTCTGACTTGGTTCTCACTACAGCCAACCAAAGACAACTAGCCACACCCTAGGCCACCCCAACCTCTCTCACTACCAAGGAAATACCACAAGTGAATAGTAAGAGAACCCACACAAGTGATGCTGACACAAAACCCCACATATACACTAAGTACAAGAACAGAAGCATAACCACCCCAACCCGCTCACCATTTCCATCCTAACCTAATACTGCATGCAACACTAATGTCTCACAACTGATCTGTAGAAAACACAACTTGAAAAAAGAGACAATGCACGTATTTTTGTAAACTAAAAAATCTTTAATAAAATTTTTTTAAACAGTCTGACTTGGTATAGGGCAACTTGCTATGTTCCTATGAAAAGACCACCGCTCTTCCAATGTTACTATTGCATTCTGCACCTTTTCTTCAAGGATACCAAAGTGGCCGAATAAATAAAATTGACTTCTGCACTTGGCATTTACTCCAGAATGGTTGTGCTTTTGTTCACTTGCTTTTTGTGAGGCAACTATATGATGGGGTCATTCAATCATTCCCTGCCCCCCTCTGTGGTTCTCCTGTCTTTTCTTATGTTCCAGATGACCTGTTAATTCAGCATCCTGATTTGCTTGCACAAAACTTGCACTGGAGTTAGGTCCTGACTTCATTGAGCATTTGTTCTGATCTGTTTACAGGGTGGTTATATGACAATGACCGTTCACCCTGGTTGGCTTGCAGGGTCTTTGCACACCTTCCTATTCATCATTCATTCAACCCATACTTTTCACTGCATTTCCCCATCACAGTACTTTCCCAATCATAAAAAGTCACCACACAATTTATTCGGTGCATTTTCATTATATTACGCTTCCCAGTGGCATCATTTTATCAGGGTCATGGTGTGCTGGCGTGAAATCGTGTGCAATTGAAACACCCCATTCCACCCCCAATCCACCTTTTAGTGCCATCTTTTATGATGTTTCCAGGTCATTTCCGGGTTTGGCGCCGTGTGCACGATTATGCACATGTTGGTA